TAATTTAGGACTTTTTTCTGGTACTTTTTTTGACGAGGACCTTTTTTCCGCACACCGACGTGTGGGGGTTCTGGAAAGAATGTACGCAGTGTGTATTTCACCATTGTTCCAATCTATTTATAATTACTATTTCAAGTAGCTTCCCCATAGATGATGTTAGAGTATTGCCCGCATAGATTGTTTGAACTGATTTGTCTTTATACTTTATAAATAGACATTGCAATCCAAAGTCTATACGTATTTGGGCAGAAAAATGGCAAGCATCTTTTAATCCCAATAAGACAGAGTCAATATGCTTTACTCGTAAATTGCAACCAACTCCAGTGCCGAACCTAACCATGAATGGTAATGTCATTAATTTCGTACAAAGTCATAAACATTTAAGTCTTATACTTCAGCATGATTGCTCATGGAATGAACACATTAACGACTGTGCTAAAAAACGTTGCACCAATGGTGAATTGTCCAAGAAGTCTCAAATATCGTTTAAACCGAAAAACATTAGAAACCATGTACAAACATGAAATACACAATGCCAGTGGACAAATGTAACATATGTTATATTTGGGATTACACTTTCTTTGTAAAGTACAGATTCTAGCACTTTTGTTGGGCTGAATCCCATCCGGGATTCAAACCCACACCCTCAGAGTCAGGCACCTAATCGCCAGCACACAAAGTCAGACGCCTAGACCGCGGAACTTGAATGTAGTGACCTTAATGCGCACAAATATGAAAGATTTATATCTCCAACATCATCTTGCTCTTGTGGCCACAACTATGAAGACTCTTCTCATTATTTCTTCTTATGTACACTTTACAACGATATACGTCAAATTATGTACTTTTATACTAAAGGATTTGACCTAAAATCAATTTTGTTTGGAAACTAAAGCTGTTCCTCGATAGTAAACAAAGAACTTTTAATTTCGGTGCACTCGTTTATAAATTTAACAGGCAGATTTGATCCAAAATAATTTCTTCATATGACATATACTGTTTAACAATGATTGGCTTTATTTCTCGTTTTTGCAACATTTATATATCATTCACATTGTACATTCATCATGACATGTTTACTCTTCCTTCCATTGTATCCCGGAGCGGTATTCATATAAGCTTATGCTTGTTTACCAATCCGGTTCCTTTCTTTGGACATAAATATGTTTAAATCATTTGGGAGATATTCCCTTTTTAGAAACATGTTGGATATATTGGCTGCTCCTTGGCAACAACAAATGGCCATTGCATGTGGTCCCGGACTTCTATTCTTACATAAACTGTGCATATGTAAGATTTCTCCAGGATCTATACTTTTGTATAGCTTTTCATCTATATCAGAATGATCGTCGTTCTGATTGTCTTTGATTCCCTTAAGACATTCGCATATGTGACATTTATTTAAAATTATCGTTAAATCCTTCAGAATTTTCAGGATGCGAAGGATGAGCATAGTGGTTGCCTCATTAGCCTATAAGTGGATGATTATGGGTAGATATAGAACGTTTTGTTTCAGGGAGAATATTGGAATATATTCTTTCAAATTGTTATTTTGAGCCTGTGGCAAGCATTCTCTAATGGAATGAAATCGAAACATCATTTACTAGTATGTGAGTTTTTCATCTGGAAGCTCTTAACTAATATATTAATTATTTTAAAAGTGAAAAAGAACATGCAAGTATACATAGAGATCTATTTTGTAAACTGTCGTATTTGCGTCCATGTTTTGAAAAATAATGCTTCAGAAAAAAACCGTGCAAGTATATATAGAAAGGTATTTTGTAAACCGTGTTATTTGTGTAGATAATGTTTTGATAAATAATGCTCCAGAAGGCACGTGTTTTATTTCTGTGTTAAGTATGGAATAACGACAGTGACAACTAACATGTAAACAATGACAGCTAATACCAAACGGCCATAAGTTAGGTGACAAGGTAATAAAAATGTTTGTATTCACAAGGAGGGACTGCTTTAGCAACAAATGTCACTCGCATTAAAAGACACCATGACACTGACTGACAGTCTCGCGTGTTTGGTTACAATTGGCAAATAAACAGTATAGACCATCGCATCAAGCAAGTGAATCATGTCTTGCGCAGGGATATACATTGTGTGTTGACATAACGCCTGTCAATTAAATGTGACGCTGATTGTGAGACGGGCGCTCGTGCACTTGTGTAACTGTTTGTCTAACCAAGTGATACACAACAACGCTTTCTGTTTATTATTTGGTTTACCACATTGTTCGTTCTGTTTACTGAAACTTTGTAATTCCACACAAGCAGATCGAATCCATCCAATCATGAGTTCCTATAAACTTGTGAAAATATTCAAATTACCTCCCTTTACTTGTTGTCGCTATCATATACACTGACTGAGTTTGGTTTTACGCCGCTTTTAGCAATATTCCAGCAACATCACGGCGGGGGACACCAGAAATGGGCTTCACACATTGTACCCATGTGGGGATTCGAACCCGGGTCTTCGGCGTGACGAGCCAACGCTTTAACCACTAGGCTACCCCACCGCCCCACTATCATATACAAGTAGTGTTGGACATTGATAGGGGTTTAAGATGACTGGTATTTCCTTACCCAGTGTCACGAGGAAGTGTGTACTCCAGCTCTCTAAACGTCCAAAGAAGATATTACATTATCAGTACTGACATAACACACCCGTCCCGGAAATCTTCCGTAATTCGTGTGAGCGAATAGATCAGCTTCCTTGTATCGCCCCGACAGAGATAAACTCCCACACTGTGTAAAGCTTGTTTACATTACTGCATGTTATGTCGATAAAAGTTTGATTATGGAAACTATCAACACACCATGCATATTTTCCTCCATTGCCACAGACATGGATGATAACATATTTATATGAAGCATTTATTGAAGGAAAATGCCTCTCAAAGAAATATATTATTATAGTTTCAGAGTAAACGCTCCATAAGCAATTATACGACAATGATATTTTATAAATAATGTCCACAGGGACTATTTATTGTCCACTGTAAACATAAAATATTTTGTGTCCACTGTGTGTTGTGAATTGTTAATATTGATATTTTTATACAAAAGATTTTTGTAACTAACATATCTTCAGATTGGCATGGTATCTGTTGACAATCCGATTTTCAGTATTTATTACAACTGTAATGATGTTTAAACAACATGTATTATTAACATCGTTACTTCATTTCGTAGGTTGTTTGGCTTAGGAATAAGTCCTGTGTTTTTGTTTCGAGGGTGTTTTGAATAACAAATATTTATAACAAATTCCCAACCAAAACAATATGTCATAACAGGCGTACAGAAAACTTTGATGGAATCATATCAAATACGTAACATGAAATCACATGCCATATATATATTTTCAGTTCTCAAGAATGCCTTTGAAGACAAAGAAAGTTCCTGGTACAGCACCTAAAACAACGTCAAAGGGTAAGCTTTATTACAACACTTTCAGATCACCCGTAGTTGATGCATAACTCCACGCCCTCTAACCGTCTCCCAGATCGTGATGTCGTTTGAATTGAGGCGCATCCAGATCCCAAACACTCACTCTACAAGTATGTGAACGTACACTGGTGTGGGTTAAGTTTATGACCCAGTGAAAGAATGTATATTCAGCGCCCATGAATGAATGTAACCTGCTCGTCTAGTTCGGTACGTTAGATATATCTATGCGTCTATATTTAGCTACTACATATATATACCCGGGTTATACTTATGGCTTTCATTTGAGATTGAGCAGATCGTGGGAAGCAGGCGGGTAACGCTGCCTTCTTTCTTAGAGGATAAACAACAAACACCCGACAAGGCCGCTCCTAGGCTACCCACTTAGCAACGCATCAGTCTAAGCTTAATCATAACACCAAGTTCAATCGATGTAATACATCGATCCTCTTAAACAATTGAAGCACACCCTGCACCCGACTCAGAGCATTTAGTGCAGATCGGAGTCTCGGGCGTCTTTTGTTGTGAAAACTGCACTTGATAGCATAATTCTGTTAATTCATCCTGCACCTAATGAATGAGATCGCTTGGGCAGGGATAAATATTCTAATTACATTGATTGTTGGCAAAACAAGTTCAAACGGCTCTTTGTTTGCGTTCACTATTTTTCCACATCAGTAGTTTCAGGTACGAGTGACATTGTTAAATCATCTACTGTACTGAAGTCTAATTATGTAACTGGAAATTGACGAGAAAAACACATGGCATACACAGGCGAAAATATTTAATATAATACATTTACATAATATCCAATTCGCCTTAAAGTACCATTATCGTCATCATCAAACCTTTGTACGTTTGCATGGTCATTTTTTTTTTTTACTCGGTTCAAATGTTTACATTATATCTTTCAAATACGGTATACAAATTTGTAGACAAAACTGTAAGGAAAGTAAAACTTCACGAAGTCATAATCTAAGTTCTCTAAATTTAAATACATCAAACTGGGCATAACTGAAATTGAGGCTATTTGTTGTCAGTACATAATAGTATTGAATTCCCTGTCTGATTTCCCGCTAAGAAAACCCACGTTACGTTTGTTTGCACCTACTGGCCAGATGAACTACAACTACTGCTGGGCTTTTACCGCGTGGTGAGTCCCACTTAATCATTGGTTATTTTATAAGGCGGGAACGATTTTGATTGGTCGACAAGGAAAGGAATTTGGTGAATGCAATGTACAAGCTACGTGGTACGTCAATCTAAGGACATGCTGGCTCTCAGCCAAGAAACCGCTTCACTACCTTTGTTTTGAAAGCGCACCAAAATAGTTCCCTGTCTGGATCGACAAATCATATATTTGCAGTTATAATATTTCGATTTTAATATACTTTTGCAGGTGAAGCATACATACACATCACTGTATGTAATTATTTAGTCACTTTAAAGTCTCAAATCATTTGGCCATATGCCAAATGTGGGCCGTACCCAGACAATCGTAGTACGAGATTAATGCGCTATCGCCCAAGTGGGTTCAACGTTCATAGTACAGCCTAGTGTGCTACATGAACAGATCAAAACAGAGACTCGATCGAGCAACACTGTGCTGTTTCTCTCTGGATACATAACCTTAACCGGACATATATCCGCCGTGTTTACATACGGTGTGAAAATGTTATCGAGGAAACTTGGATATAACTCATACGCAGGAGAAAAAGATCGCCAAGGTAAAACATGAAGTGATGTCGGTTTCAGTTTGTTCGTAGTGATGGAGCATACGCTGTTAGGGCTTCACTGTTGATAGGTGTGTACCACATTATAATGTGTTTCTTTTTGTTCTTTTTACAGTGAAAGAAAAGGAGAGCTTCGATAAAGCATACACAATCGGACAAGTTCTTGGAAGTGGTGGATTTGGAACAGTGTATGCAGGGGTCCGAAGAAGAGACAATTTGCCTGTAAGTGTAGCAAAACATTCGTCCACATTCGCGTCCATTTGTCTCCCCGCATTCTGACATATGTCAGTCTCTTCTGTGTTTGCTTTCTCTTCATGCTGACTTGATTTTCTTTTTAAGGTTGCAGTGAAACACGTCAACAAGGAAAAAGTCACAGAATGGGGCCAGGTATGTAGATTTAACAGATTTTTTACTAAAACATGTTTTCAGTAAAGCCCATGTGCTTGGCTCGTTGCCAGATTTTAAGATCAGTGGTCACGGTCATCGTTTGACCACAGATTCTAAAATTATTAAGGTGTGTAATTTGCGGTTTGTAGTAAATTATATATTTTGAACGTTTTGCTAAATGTCCTTGTTTATTTTTACAGGTAAATGGACATGCAGTACCCATGGAGATTTGCCTGCTGAGGAAAGTTCAACATGTGACCGGTGTTATTCGTATTCTGGATTATTACGAGCGGTCGGACAGTTTTATAATAGTAATGGAGCGCCCAGAGCCCGTGAAAGACTTGTTTGATTATATTACTGAAAAAGGTGCTCTCAGCGAGGATTGTTCAAGAGACTTCTTTAGGCAGATTGTGGAAATTCTCAGCAGTATTCACCGTGCAGGAGTTATACATCGTGATATCAAAGATGAAAATATTCTCGTGGACTTAAAAACAGGACAGTTGAGACTCATTGACTTTGGTTCCGGAGCATTCCTGAAAGACACTGTTTATTGTGAATTTGATGGTGAGTGTCTTTTGCCGACTGGATGTAATGTTCTTGGATTATATTCGTTTAATATGTTCACTGGTCATTGGATTTACGTATAATATATACCCTTTGTAAACCCACCGCCAAATATGGGTCGTTGTGAACTAGCGGTAGGGCAGACAACATATCCCGTGTGTATTGATATCGTGTTGCAGTCCTGTGCAAGGAGGGGGTGGGGCATGCCGCCATCTGTAACACGTCCGCTCCTGCCATATGTGAAATAACGTCCGTCGATTTAAATGTAAATACATGAGAAATAAGGCAGAAATATGTGAAGTTACTGTGTTATAGCGCTGTACAGGTCGATTTTATAACTGCGAATATGTTGAAGTTCAGTAAACAGACGCTCGCAAAGGGGCATGCGGGGAATGTACATAGACCCAGTTGTGAGTGGGCTTTCTCGGAAAACTAGATTTCGCAGTCAACGGGTCTTCCGCGTCGCGATGATTGGCTGTAGGTGCGGCGTTTTGTTTTGAAAGGTTCCCCACACCCCGCGTTTCAGGTCCTGCCTTCTTAGGGCCTCGTTCATGTCCGGTCATCGTTTAAATTTAACACTGGCAAGGTGACCTCCCCTCTTTGTCCACCGACCTTCCCATTCTTATCAATTTCAAAAGGTTGACTTGTCTGCAAGTACTTTAGGCCTCGGTTCACTGCACACATGTTCGCTATGCTTGATTGATCGAATGTGTCACCTTAGAAGTCGAGTGACTCGGCGGTCGTTAGGTGCGAGCAAACTTAGGGCAATTTCATATTGTGTCCTTTGACTGATGTGGTAAATATGTTAGACTCAACTCTTCATTTTTGCTCTTCAGGTACCCGTGTATACAGCCCACCAGAGTGGATTCGTTACCATCGTTACCATGGGCGTTCTGCAGCAGTATGGTCTCTCGGCATCCTTCTTTACGACATGGTCTGCGGAGATATTCCATTCGAACTTGACGAACACATTGTCAAAGCTGAGCTCACATTTAAAGGCAGAATTTCTCCAGGTATGTACACGGACATTTTAGGCTTTGTTGTGAATTAAATTGTAAAAATTGTTGTGGCTGGAAACTGTGTAATGGATGACTTTTGCAAAATTAACCCTTACATTATTGAAGAAGATCCACAGATATATTAAAATGTGATCTGTACTTTTTTAGATGTGTGGCTAAGTATTTTGTTCTGTTTTGCAGAAGTAAAAGATCTTATCAGAAGGTGTTTGTCCCTCCGACCATCTGAACGTCCAACAGTAGAGCAGATCTTGGACCACCCCTGGATGAGGCAGGGCATTGCTCAGAAGAATGACAAAGAGATGGATGTATCATCTATGAGCAGCCAAGAGAGTATATGACGCAGGCTGCATTCTTAGTCCAAGTGCAATGTGATAACCAATATGGCAACCAGCCACGCCCACCTCACATATTCCACATGAGGAGAGGTGGGTCACCATGACTGCCTGTGCTGGCCAATGAACATACTCTGAGTCAGTGGTCAACAGTGACCACCCAATACTGCCATTTCAATGCAACGTTCCTTTCCGAGGAGAAAAAGACATTCTAAGGTGCTTTTTGTCTCTTCAAATTCCACTTGACTTCATGTGACTTCAAGGGGTACAAGGCAGCAAGAACAATGTAGATTCGACAAAGGAAAGATGGATCATTACATTCCATCCTAACCTGAACCAGTGACTTAATGACATCCCAGTGAGGGGTGGATCTAAAACGGGTACATGTCTGTGACATGGTGCAACCAGACCTTATGGTGGAGAGCCAGGATGTATCTACCAACAATTGCTTGGGAAATACCACTTCTTCCAGATGCAAATGTTCTTAACTTATTTCTCACATCATTTTCTCATGATTTTTCATTGTACATAGTTATCATCAATTGGAAATAATTTATTGTGTTGTAAGGAGGGATGTGAATGTATTTAAAGTGTGAATGACTGTGTGCTGTGTACATCTGTATTTATTCAGCGGCCTATGGTCGGTTTGGTTGTGTTCCAAATGTACATAAATGTATTTTTATAGGAAAAACAGAATGAGAAAAGAAATAAATGAAATTAAATTTACCTTTTTGTTGGTTTTAACTGAGGCGATATTGAACATGAACACTATTAATGGAACAAAGACTCACAGCAGACATCGACTGTTGAACTGGCCTAGTTAGACCGCAGTTCATCTCGGACCAGAAGCTTATGTAACAAGTACATCTTGGGAAAATAGCCCCTCTAAATATTCCACAGTTTGACAAAGGGACAAGTGAAAGTCACAATCTCTTCTTTCTGTACATACTCATTCCCAGGGTGAATACTGGTGTACATCGAAAGGGACGTGTTTTATCTCCTGAAATATATTACATCCAGCCAAGGTCCAATGAACTATGAACCGGTTGCAGGGTCAGGATAATGGTTATCACATCAAAGTAATATCTGAAAACACATTTTGGCTTTGGCAAAGGGAAAGCAATTTGTAACCCTCTCAACATCACTTCACATACACCACTCAAGACTTGTTAAATGATATATGTACCCGACCTTTTCATGATTCTATATATTGAATCAACCATGCCAACTACACCATGTATTTTTATCAGTGGATCCTCTACACCACGAAGAACAATCAGGATATAAACCATTGTCTTATGGAATTTAAAGCAGTTGCCCAGTAAAATATATATCTCTGTAATTTACAACCGAGCGCATTAGCACATTTCTGCGTCTAAAGGCTTCATTTAAAAGATGCTAATGAAACATTCATAATGTAGAATTCAAAGCTACACGCAGGAAAAGATGTATCTTAATAGTCAAGTGTTCGTGGGAACTGTTTAATAACCAGCCCAGATCACACGGGGCACAACGTGTTTCATATGTTAACCTGGGATGGGTAAGTAACTAAGGCCAGTGTCGTATGTCGGCGGTGGAATGTGGACCAGAGTGGATGAGACAGCACATTTAGCCCAGTGCGGAACATGATATATTTCCATAGTCCAAATGGGACAACCACAGTCACCTTCACCAGGCGTGTTACTCACATATATGGAAACTGGGCTTGGCCAGTCTTGTTCAAAGGCTGTCCTGAATAACAGTCCAGGGTTATTTAGTAATTCTGTCCTCATTACAGGGAAGTCCAGATAAACGGTAGGATGCCAGTCTGTTATACCAACAGCTTGGTTTTCGTGTTTATGTAATTTAGAAATTGGGTTGAAACTCTTATTATCGGTTTACAGACTGTGCAAGTCTAGGCTGAACCCACCGCTCCGTTATGTACCAGTTGGAGATAGGCACTTGTCTATATATAACTCTAAACATATCTTTGACATACCAACCTTTGGCAGACCTACATACCTGCGGGCAAGATCCATGTCATCGTCCTTTGATGCTAGCGCGACCGATAGATAACCAAACATTTTACGCAACGGAACAAACTCTACAGCGTTCAAGCCTGTTACAATATTTTCAATTACAATGCATTGAATTTGTTTACATTCGTCTTTAACATGTTTTAAGGAAGGCTTTGTAATAAAAATAAAACACCACAATCGCTTCGGCTCATGTTTCAAAGTAACCTCAAATCACGGATCTCAATTATCACAGATCTAATATTTCCTTTCGTGTTAACGTTTGTGGTTATAAATAATGTATGTTTTGTAATAACTGAATCTATAGTAGATCTTCATGAAAAGCCCAACATTTCCGCCATAAACTGGTGCCCGGAATCTGCTAGCCAGAAATGTTCCACGATTATGAAATGGTGGCAAATATAAAGTCTTATTGTGCATGATCCAGCAGATACCATTCCTTGGTACTAAGAATCTAGATTAAAATAGTAATTTATACAAAAACAAATGCACACCTTGTGCTTTTCAATAACAACCAGCCAGCGTTATTGCGAGAATGCACAACAACAAACCAATGTGTTGACGTGTGACTGACCTACTTTGTAACCATGTTTTAAACGCTAAATCAAATTCTCCAAGATTAATTCCCATTTCAACCTCAAATTCCTGTGCGATGTGGTTGCACAAAACATATCAAGGAAGTATATCTTTGTTTGAAATCAGTATTGGATATACACAGCATGAAACATGATTTCTTCCCCAGCCCTGTGTCGTGTAGTACAACTCCTATCGTGAGAAATCAATGAATCCTGGAGAACTGTGACGTCACAGCTACATGGATCACTCGCCTGTCACATGCACAGCTAGGTCAAGGACGTTTGGTGAGCTGCGCAGTAGGCGACAGCCTGTGTTGTGGTGCGTAAGTAGGTCATTGTAACCATAACAGTGGAGTGGGTTCGCTGGTGAATGGTGGAGCGATCTATGCTCGGTAGATATCATAAACAATTAAGGCATAGCTGAAATGTTTAGTTTAATAAGATCGGCATTCAACGAATTCTGTGCGTACTCTCCCACGAACAATGGTACAATGCAATAAGAAATAGATTTTACAACATTCAGCATAGTGTTCATTCATTAAAAACACAAACTCCCCCACAATAAACAAATATGAACAACATTTTTAAAGCTTTGCGTATATCGTAGACTTGTCAATAGTGCTCAGTCAGTTGACAGAGAGAGTGCATCTGCGTCAATCCTGAGATCCAGGAACGGAGTCTACGACCATATTCTCGTGAACGGTTCGTTATCTGTACAACTTCACACACAGCTGTACAAAGTTCTGCACTACGTACCCAGCTGTACGGTGTACACATGTACGACCAACTGCAGAACGACATACAACTGCTCGGTGGTACGACTAATACAACAGTGTACCAAACGGTATGAATATATATATATATATATCAATATATATATATATCATCTGTACTACTACCTGTACAACTACAAACTCGACTATATAGCCAATGTACACATGTACGCTCAACTGTAGGACAAAATACATCAGTACAACTATATAGCCAATGTACACATGTACGCTCAACTGTAGGACAAAATACAACAGTACAACTATATAGCCAATGTACACATGTACGCTCAACTGGAGGACAAAATACAACAGTATAACTATATAGCCAATGTACAAATGTTCTCTCAACTGTAGGACAAAATACATCAGTATAACTATATAGCCAATGTACACATGTACGCTCAACTGGAGGACAAAATACAACAGTATAACTATATAGCCAATGTACAAATGTTCTCTCAACTGTAGGACAAAATACATCAGTATAACTATATAGCCAATGTACACATGTACGCTCAACTGTAGGACAAAATACATCAGTATAACTATATAGCCAATGTACAAATGTACGCTCAACTGTAGGACAAAATACATCAGTATAACTATATAGCCAATGTACAAATGTACGCTCAACTGTAGGACAAAATACATCAGTATAACTATATAGCCAATGTACGCTCAACTGTAGGACAAATACATCAGTATAACTATATAGCCAATGTACAAATGTACGCTCAACTGTAGGACAAAATACATCAGTATAACTATATAGCCAATGTACAAATGTACGCTCAACTGTAGGACAAATACATCAGTATAACTATATAGCCAATGTACAAATGTACGCTCAACTGTAGGACAAAATACATCAGTACAACTATATAGCCAATGTACAAATGTTCTCTCAACTGTAGGACAAAATACAACAGTATAACCATATAGTCAATATACTCTCAACTGTAGGACAAAATATAGCCTACCAACTTGCAAGGAGTAGCAATAATTTAGTAACAACTGTATTTGATTTACAAGTCGTCCTGTTTTGCGACGTCGCCATGTGGCTATGCTTTCTCGGAGATCTGATCTGACATATAACTAGAAACGACCATTTGAGACAAAAGCAAGAGCTGGTCAGCCGTGTTGTAAAGAAGGAGGCTATTCTAACTCGTTACTCACTCCTACGAGACAACGCGTAAAACTGTTGTCAGCTGTTGATAGGAAGTAAACATCGTGGACATGAAAAATCAATATTGTATGAACAATAAGAACGTGGCAACTTGAAAACAGATTAAATGGAAATACCCAGCGGTCGTTTGTATCAAATTAAATAAACATTTCCCATGTTTTCATAATAAAACATGCAAAGATAACAGCTGCTCTGATGACGAGCAAACGCCCTGAAGGAAAATTTCGATGTTTTTACGGTGACAATTTTACCTAAAACAATATGATTGTCTGTGGAAAATGAATGTGTTTTACAGTTTCCTCCGTGTTACACATGTATTTATTATACTGATGGTTGAAAAAATAGTACTGCTGTAAAAGCGAAACCCATGAAGGTACGGGGTAGTGCTAGTCGTCAGGGGCGTGGTAGGTTAGGAGACGTGGGCGATGCATGTCACAGTATCCTGATGTTGCAGGTCGGTCATCATAATGTCAACCTCACGGTTGTCAGGTCCAAACTCGTATGATTACAGACCACAACCATTGACTTGTAACATTGCAACTAACAAAGACATTGCCCGTTGTATACATTAGTGGTGGTCCGATTAATTGAAATAATCGAAGATTGGTCGTAGTGACTAAACGACCAAGCAATCGATCATAATTTCTCATAATCGAACACAACAATTCTGTAACACTTGTTTTCATTAACAATATTTTTCACATGGTTGGTTTTGTCTGTTACATTTCGTAAGCACTACAAGCTCGTTTCAAGTCATGATTGAATTTATCTTAAAGATTCCAAGACATTTATGTTCCTAACATACTAGTCATCCTTTAAAGATGTGAAATTTTGCCCCCCAAACCCAGAAGAACTACAATTTTTCCCCTTATTTTAATGGGCATTAACAAATTTCATAAATGACGCTAACCAATTATTTTCGATGATTGATCGGTAGTAATGAACCAATCATCAATTATGAGATTTTAACCAATTCCCAACACTAGTATACATACATAATCCCACTGGCGTGCAGATGGTGTTACAGGGGCGGTGGGGTAGTGGTTAGAGTGCTCGCTCGTCACGCCGAATACCCGGGTTCGATTCCCCACATGGGTACAATGTGTGAAGCCCATTTTTGGTGCCCCCCGCCGTGATATCGCTGGAATATTGCTTAAAAACGGCGTAAAAATAAACT